CCTTTCACATCAAGAGCTTTGTTGTTTAGAAACATCTCTGGGTGATATTCTGTGCAATCACCTCCCAGTCAGAGGCAGCCATTGAATCTTGCTTGAAGAAAAATTTTCCTTATCACTTAGTTCTTTAGACCTAACCAGACCTCTGTGACTATGCCTGAAGAACTTTAAGATACTATCACAGGACTTAAGCAAGGTCCTAAGTTAAATTCATGCTTTTTACCTCAAAGAATATACTCCTTCAGGGGCACCAAATTGCCCTTATTTATTGCCATGCATAGTGGCAATAGGTAGGGCCAACTATTGAAGTGTCCTTAGTCTCAGTCAATTTTTTTACCAGCTTTCTATATAGAAATTCAAGATACATGGGACTATACTAACATCTTACCAAGCTGATCTTTTCATGAGTCATATACTTATGATTACACATTTGGGAGGATTAGGTGAGTGACTCTTTTCCAAAAGGCTATTTTCTCTCATTCCTACATATAAGAGGCAGTACCATTCTGGGGGAGGATGTCTGCCTGCCTGATCAAGAATATATGGAGAGGGAAGAGGGAGAAACTAACATTTCTTAAATTTATATGGGGAGATAACACACATACGTGAAAAGTTGCCTAACAAAACACAATACAGGATATGATGCTGACCAAATGAGTAAAACCATAAAGTTTATGCTATAGGAATTCAAAGGAGAGTGATTCCTGTAGGCAGGGCTGGTCAGGAAAGGCTTTACAGAGGAGGTAAAATTTGGGTCTGAACGATTAGATAGGATTTAGATTGATGGCAAGGAATGAAGAGACAAAAGGTACAAGGAAAGGCACAAGTAATGCACAAGACCCCAAGCTAAGTGATGAAGAAAGTAACCTGGTTCCAACAAAGAGTTTGGATGGTAAGGGGCTGGATAGGGACTCCTTGAAGTCAGAAACGTCATCTCCTTTATTTCATTATTTGCTCCAACTCTAGTAAAATAAAGGTGCATATAGATGATTGCTTGATTCCAAGGGTACAACTAACATTTATTGAATGACTATTATGTACTAGGTGATTTACAAACATTGTCACATTTAAGAATCATAATCACTTTGTGAGTTATAAATATTAAATAACCCCATTTTATAGATGAGGAAACTCAAGTGCAGAGAAGCCCAAAGTCACACAGCTAGTAAGTGACAGTGTCTGGCTCCAAAGTCAAAACCCTTAACCACTGTACCACCCAGTGTCTCTCCTTTGCTCCTATTTACTTTTCAGTTTATAGACCTTTTTAAGGTCCATTTAAAAGAAAATGACCTCAGTTCCTGTACCTCTTTCATCAGAAATAGAATAATGGAAAAACATGGATAAAGCTCTGGCATGGGAATCATTTCCCAGCTCTGCCACTAGGTTCATTGTATGACTTCTGGAAAGTCCCTTCTCTTCTCTGGACCTCATTTTCAATTCCATGATCTCTAAGCTGTCTTCAGCTCTAAGGCATGATGTTTTATGATCCCATCTGATACTGAGGAGTCAGAAGTCAAGCTGAATAACCATACCAGATATCTTTCACCAAATGGCTCTTTTCCTTTTTTGGAAGAAATATATACTAGAGGCCACTGTAAACTTACATTATCAATATACCTTCTATATTCTGGAACCAAATTTCTTTCTTCAAGTGTTCTTTCTAAGTACACCCAGTTGCTCCCTCTTATCACCTCTACCTAGCATTTTGACCACCAGAACCTATTCTCACACTTGTCATTTGCCTTTACTCAAGAGTAGGAATCTTAGGTCTCATCCCTGAAAGCATCAAACATAATACACTGAGTTAGGGAGGGGCTGCTCTTTTGGGTAGCCAGGCATTTTTCAAGTGGCTTGTTCCCCATGTTTCTAGATGAGAAGGTAATGGCCAGTCCCTCAGCTACTGGAAAACTTACCTCATGCAGTAATATCATGTATGTTCATTTTATTGCCTTACCTGCATTGTCCAACCCTGAGCTCTGAGTTAGTATGTGTCCCTGAAATATTGCTGGTCTCTAATTAATCAGTTCAATTCAGAAAGCATTTCCTGAAGATACACCTCTAACAAGGTACTGTGGGGAGATATAAAGATAAATAAAAGGTGGCCTCTGCCCTAAGGAATTTGCAATTGTAAGAAAGGATAGGAAAAGCACACAAGTTTAACACAAGGTTTAATGTGCTCATTGCCATAAAAGTGATGCTAGCAATTACACACCTAGTGTAGGCTTACCCTGTGCTCAGTACTGTGTGGTATGCATGGTAAGTGTATGATTGTTGGTGATGCTTAAACACTGAGTATATCAATAAAGAGGGAAAGCATATGGGCTATAATGTTGAAAGTTTTGAGGAAGAGGCAGGACTTAAGCTAGATGATATTAGGATGAGGAACATCTTGATAGATGCTAGGAAGAAGGAAATAACATTCCAGGTAAGAAGTGTGACATGAATGTGGTAAGAACACTAAGGAGGCCATCCATTCCTAAGTACAGGGTGGGCATTGTGTGTTGTAGGCAGTAATCTTAGAGAGGTAAGATATGGCCAGATGGTAGAGGGCTTTGTAGACTTTGATACAATAGAAAATAGCTATTAATTTTATGGTCTTGAGTGATGTTGATATAATGAAAGATAAATTTTAGAAAGATTACTCGGGTACTAGCATGCAGGGTGGATTGAAATTTGGAGAGACAAGAACCAGAAAGAGCAATAGATAGTTGGACATGTGTAACAATGGCTTCATGAGTAGTGATAACTTTAGAAATGGAGAGGAAGGATCCAAGCCAGGAGACATTTTAAATACCTGGAAATAGTCCCAGTGACTAGAGAGATCTGGGAGTCATTTGTATAGAGATGACAGTTAAACCCATGAGAGGTGTAGAAGATAATCAATGGAGAGAATAAAGATAGGGAAAGGAGATAAAATGGAAAATTTGGAATTACCTAAGCAACGTTGACATGCATCCATGTGGACAAATAAATGAATGGAGAAAGAGAAAGAGAGTAAAGAATATAACCTTAGAAGACACTCATAATTCAAGGGAGAGCATCACAAAAATACTGTGAGTGAGAGAATATTACACTTTTTTACCGATGGAAAAGCTGAGGCTGGGCAGTTATAATGACTTATGTAAAGCCATGAAGCAGTCACAACTCAACCTAAGTTCTTCCAGATTCCACATTGTGTCCATTTCCCTACTCTTCCCAATCTCTGAGAACCAATGGCTAGAAAGAAGTGTACATATACTGTTATGGTCACTTCCCATAGTATCAAAGGTTTATGTGGGAACATAGGATTTTAAAGTAAGGAAGGAGATCTAGGATGAGACAGGAAGAGAACCAGAGCTGAGCCAACGTATACTAAGACTAAAATGACATCGTTCTTGGTTCAAGTAGACATCTATTTACTAATGGTGAGATCACGACAGTATCAGCAGCAGGAGCAGGTGGGGATGGGGAAAGCAGTATAAATGCAGATGGTAGAAAGAGAAGGTAAATTGAGTTCCTAAATTCTGCATTTGTCTTCCATTAGGCAGAGCCTGATTTTTGGAATTATCTGCATTTTTTTCAATTTAGTCCTCACCAGATAGTGACTCTACCTTTGCAGCCTTAGCTTAATCTCCCCCAGGAGTGAAACCATGAAGGAAGTTGATAATTGGGTTTTTCAACTCAGGCTTGAATGTCTGCAAGCCTGATTTTAATTCAAATAATTGCTTGGAGGAAGTATTCTGTGCCAAGTATGAGTGGGGAATGCAGTGGTGAAAAGTAAAAGAAACCCATTTAGCAGAATACTAAAGGCAATTCTGGAAAAGGTGCATTGGCAAACCATACCTACAAAATTCTGAGACAGCCAACCATCAGCAGGAAGCAGCAAGGCAAATAGTGCATTGCACTTCCAGAATTGCCTTTCACACTTTATCAATCACCTTCTTGGTAGAAATGTATAGGTGCAATGAGATGTATGCTTAAGCACTTGCTGCCTCTTTTTCTCTTTGAGTTTGACAAACATGAATTATTCTCTATATACCCTTCACTGAAGAGCTGGGCCAATACAGCTGCTTTCTGTTCAGACTTAAGGGCAACAATACCCTAAGTCTGAGATTCCAGACAAAACAGAATGTTGTGCCCACCATGGAACTATGATTATAAAGACAGACATTTTCAGAGCCACTTTTACTTTTCCACTCTTCCTAGAAGAAAACAACCTTATCTCTGGAATCTGCCTGGTTAACTCGGCGGCATGAGAGTTTGCCAGCTTGCTGTGGCAAGAGTAACCCACCTTAGCTAGCCTCTATCTTCTGAGATCCAGATCTCACACTTGATGGGAGCACTCTGAATGGCACATTAATTTCATAAAGGAGAATGTACTAAGCAGAAACTGTAAGGGACGACCACTGTCAACTTTTTTTATCTCAAAGTGCCAAGTACATTACTATGCAGGGAGTATAAAGAAAGTGATTATCGGTACATTAAACAAGCTGATTCAGAGTGTATTTTCCTACCACCAAAAGGCTGGGGGTTGGAAACAAAAACATTTGTACCATAAATGATGTTGCTTGTTAATTCCAAAGCCTCTTGTTTTCTAGATACCTCATTCCTTTTTAGAAACACACCAACACCTAAAGTACTATAATAGCTATCTCAATTATGTCCAGTGGAATAGTAACAAAACAGGGTAATTTTGTGAGTAGCAAGACCCAAAACATTCCATTAAATCCAGATGATGTTGAGCTGTCATCACAGCTATTTAAGTCAAATACCAGCCACTATCATAGATTAGATAATGCTGATAAATAAAATAATCTTAGTTCATAGTGAAGCAGGCTGACTACTCTTAGAATGTGAATTTCTGGACTGGTTACAAATGCTTTGGTATAGCACACCAATCTTTAGAGATTTGCAGATGTTTGCTGCCTCCAGGGCTTGAACAAAAAGGAGATATACCAATGAATGCATACCCACCCATACAAGAGAAAGGGACATTTGATCACCTTCACTTTTCAACCTTACAGATTATCCAGAAGTTTCATCATCTCTTGCCGTGGAAACGGAAACGTAGCAGTTTTCACATTTCCTGCATATCTCAGACAGGTCAGTATTCTGAGAGAGGCACATAGATTGCCGCCTGGACTGCTAAGAAGCAGTCTTGGGAACAGAACTAGAAAAGGAGTAAGTTCTCACCCTGGTGAACAAGATGCTAAATTCTTCACTGTTGTATATTCACATAAGCAGAAGTTCTATACATAATTTCCCTGTGTAACATACTGAAAAAGATGCCCTTATTCCCTGCAAATTCACACTATTCACTTGGGCTAAACTACCCCAGGGTATCCGGAAACAGCCAAACATCCTGTTCAGGTATTTACTTTCATATTGTGAATTATAAACCTTGTCCTGGTGCATTTCAAGTCTCTGACATGATATAGATTATAAATGGGTTCTTTTTGCCTGACTCCATTATGTCAATTAATAAACTTCTCTTACCCACTCACAGGCAAAAAAGCACCCTCCCTACACTCCAACTCTCCCAAAATGCTACTAATTTGTTTATCAGTGGCAGGCAGCCTTACACATAGCATTCTCTTTGGCCTAGTGAAAAGCTAAACAGCCTTTTCTTTGCAACATTCACAGGTAAATAAACCCAGGTAATTCAGTATTAAAAGGAGAATTTTAGTAATAGAAATACCATGCATGGAGCTCAAAGCTCTGATCTGATAAGCCTTCCAATTCTATTTCCATGAAAAAGCTAGCAATTATTCAGAAGGCTATCAATCTGTGGGCTCTCGAGTCTTCACTTCTTTCCGTTACAGAAGCCTGCTGTGTACCAGTATAGATACTGTATAAGACCTTGTATATGCCAGCCACTTTGCTATGTAGTTGATATATGTTATCTCATTTAATCTTTGCATCAACTCTGTGAGGTCAGTGTTACTATTCCCATTTTACTTGTGAGAAAACTGAAGTCCAGACAGGTTAATCCACCTGTCCAGCTAGAAAGTGGATAACCTAAGATTGCAACCCAGGTCTGTCTGACCTCAGAGCATGCTCTTTCCACTTTGTCACAACATTTAAAAACCTGACTTGGGCTATTTACTGTGCATCTTCACTTAAAATTAAAAGTTAAAAAGAGGGAAAGATTAAATCTGTCTTCTTGTCCAAAGCCCTTATGAAATGTTTGATGTTTAAGTGAGACAACTTGTATGGTAGTAGTATCTAGATTTCAGTTATCCATGGTGTTTATCTCTCTCATTTTCTTGTTTTATGAGGGTATTCTATGGAGCACTAGTACTTTGACAAGTTAACAAATGTTAGAGGGAGAAAAAAGTTCTTTGGTGAAATAAATTTAGGAAACCCTATGTAAGCAAAATTAGAGAGTTGTCTTTAGCATAGGAATTCTCAAAGCTTTTACTATGCAAATGATTTTGTGATTCTCCAAGAGAAGATTGTAGTAGCCCTCTGAACTTATTTGACTGAACTTATTTTCTTTTCTGCAGATCATATAACCTTGTCTTTAGTGCAGTACTTGTAAAGAAATTTGTGAATCCCCAAAAGCGAAATAAGTTTTTCCCAAACTTATATGACCATGTAACCCTTTTTTTCAGAACATTTTAAGTGAAATTAAACCATAAATATATTTTTGGTATGATTCCCTATATAAGCAAAATTGCCTTTAAACAATGCTTTTCCCAGGGCACTCTGTTCAAATAAATTAACTGATTAATTTGTGGGGACAGCAGAGTCATGTTCTGATAATAATAGAAAAGTGTTTGGGGATATAGGAAGGAATAGTGGGAGAATGATTTCAAAATTTATCAAGATATAAAGAATTTTTTAATGTCTATAAGATAATTACTACAGTGATGTTTGTAAAATCTCCAAATGGAAAACAACCTGAATGTCTATCAATAGAATGGTTGTATAAATTATGTATGTCCAAATTATTAGATATTTTATACATATTTTCCTTTGAAAAGTTTTCACAATTAAAGAAAACTATGTGGGATAAAGTGAATACCCATCTATTTACAACTCAGAATTAACAAATGCTAACATAGTTTATCATTTTGTCTCAAATTTTTGTATAAAAAGAAATTATTGCCGTAATTTTTACACAAAAAAGCACTAATTCTAGATGATATTTTCTTCAAAATGAAAAGATTAACTTGAAGAAACATTTGTAAAATATATAACACACAAGATCTAACATCCTTAATTTACAAAGATCTTGCAAATCAGTAAGAAAAACACAACAGTTAGAAAATGGGCAAAGTTTGCGAACAGTCAGAAAAATAAAAGTTACAAAGAGTAAACATAAAAATTGTTCAACTTCAGTAGACAGAAACGCAAATTAAAATAACTCAAAATATCAATATTGGTTTACTAAAGCAACCAATTTTTATAAATTATAGTACCTACTGTTGCCAACAACATGTTGAAACAGGTGCTCTTATATACTACTGATATAAAGTTAAATTTATAGATCATTTTTTTGAGGGCAATTTGGCAACATATATGAAAACCTTAAATTTTTCATACAATTTTATCTAATAACTCCATTTTAATAACATATTTTATTATCTAATAATAAAATAATCAGAGATCTGCACAACTATTCATCATCAATTTATTATAATAGCATAAAATTGGAAACAAAACTAAATATCTAACAATAGAGGAATGGTGAAATAAATTGTCACATCATTATGATAAAATATTATGCACCATTAAGAGTAATACTTTTAAAGAATAATTAATAAGGTTATGTGAAAAAGCTAAGTGCAGTTTAATTTTAAAAGTACATTTTTATCAGCTTTATGGAAATATAATTCACATACCATTGAATTCAGTGACTTAAAGTGTACAATTCAGTGGTTTTTAGGATATTCAGAGTTGTGCAACCATCACTACAATCAATTTTAGAATATTTTCATTACTCCAGAAAGAAACCCCATACTCATTAGCAGTCACTCCCCATTCCTCCACTGTCACCTCTAGGCAACCACTAGTCTACTTTCTGTCTCTATGGATTTGCCTATTCTGGACAATCTATGTAATCCATGATTTCATGGAATCATACAATATGTGGTCTTTTGGGAGAAAATATTTGCAAATCAAATATCTGATAAGAGACTTGTATGCAGAATATATTTTAAAAACTCTTACAATTCTAGTCTATACAGGAACTAATATATAATAATGTACACCTGAAATTACACAATGTTATAAACCATTATGATCTCAATAAAATATTTTTTTAAAAAAAGAGCTGTTACAATTCTATAATTAAAGGAAAATCCAATTTTTTTAAATGGGCAAAGGATCTGAATAGACATCTCTCCATATACAAATGATCAATAAGCACATGAAAAGATGCTTAACGTCATTAGCCATTAGGGGAATGCAAATCAAAACCACAAGATACCACTTAATATCCACTAAGATGGCTATAATCCAGAAGACTGATAATAACAAGTGTTGATGAGGATGTAAAGAAATCAGAACCCTCATACATTGCTGGTGGGAGTATAAAATGGTGCAGTCACTTTGGAAAAGAGTTTGGCAGTCCTTCAAAATGTTAAACATAGAATTACCATATGACCCAACAATTCCACTCCTAGGTTTATAACCAAGAGAAATGAAAACATATGTCCACACAAAACTACATGAATGTTCGCAGTATTATTCATAATAGCAAAAAGTGGAAACAACCCTAATGTCCATCTACTGATGAATAGATAAATAAAATATGGCATATCAAGACAATGGAATACTATTTGGCAACCAAAAGAATACATGCTGCAACATGGATGAACCTTGAAAACTTTATAAAATTACATTTTTAATTTTAATTTAAAACTTTTAAGTATTAAAATGTGTCTACATATGTAGAAAAACACCGAAAGGAAATATACCTAAAACAATAAAAACAAAATTTTTACATGGGTTACTTCTTCTCTATCCAGACTTGACACTTCAACCTCTGTCTTGCCAGTATTCTTATCTTACTTACTCCATTGCCTTAGCCAGCAAAAACCCAAATTCCAGATTTAATCCAGCTGTCTGCCTTCTCCATTTCTATACTCAGGCTGCTGAGAACTACTACAAAAATAACACAACTGATTATAAATACTGATTGCAACTGATTACAAATAACAGAACTGAGATTATACATTTGTGGTCTCCAGCCTAAACTGGCCTGATAAGTCTTCACTACTTACCTACTTACCAGTAGTTCTTTCCTCTGTTAACCACAACTTCATATAGTCTCTCATATCACTCCTATCCTATATCATAATTAAGGTCCTAACACATGCAATAGAGACAGAAAAAAGAAATAAAAGGCACTCTGATTGGAAAAGAAGAAATGAAACTATCCCAATTTGCAGGTGACATGATTGTCTACATAGATAATCCAAAGAATCTACAAAAACTCCTAGAACTAATAGATGAGTTTAGCAAGTTCACAGCACACAAGATCACACAAACATCTATTGTGTTTCTGTACACTAGCAGTGCACAATTAGGAAACCAAAATCAAAAACACAATACCATTTACAATAACTCCAAAACATTAAGTAGCTAGATATAAATCTAAGAAATCATATACAAGATGTGTATGCTGAAACCTACAAAACACTGATGAAAAAAACCAAAGAAGACCACAATAAATGAAGAGACATATTATACTCATAGATTAGAAGACTCAATATAGTTAAGATGTCAATGCTCCCAAAATTGATAGACAGGTTTAATGCAATCACAATTAAAATTCCAGTAGGATTTTTTTGTAGATAAAGACAAGCTGATTCTAAAATTTTTACAGAAATGTAAGGGAACTACAATAGCCAAAATGATTCTGAAAAACAAAAAGAAAGTCGGAGGACTCAAACTGTCCAATTTTAAGACATGTTATAATGCTACAGTAGTCAAGACAGGGTAGTATTGGATAAAGGATAGACTCATAAACCAATGGGACAGAATAAAAAGTAAAATACAGACATAGACCACATAAAGATGGTCAACTGATTTTTACACAAAAATGTAATAGTAATTTTTGGCGAAATTACAGTCTTTTCAACAAATGGTGCTAGAACAAGTGGATATCCCTACACCATGTACACCCCACAGCATATGCAAAATTTAACTCAATGGATCCTAGACCTAAATGTAAAATGTAAAACTATAAAACCCTTAGAAGAAAACATAGGAGAAAATCTTTATCACTGTGAGTTAGGCAAAGAGTTCTTAGATATGTCATCAAAAGTAAGATACATAAAAGAAAAAATTTATAAATTGGACTTGAACAAAATTATAAGTGTTGTCTCTGAGAAGAACACTGTTAAGAGAAAAAAAAGACAAGTCACTGACTGGGAAAAAATATTTGCAAAACACATAGCTGATAAATGACTTGTATCCAGAATATGTAAAGTGCTGTAAAAGCTCAAAAATAAGAAAACAAACACCACAACAAAAAATGGGCAAAAGGTTTGAATGGACACTTCACCAAAGAAGTGGAAATAAGCACAAGAAAAGATTCTCAACATCACTAGCCATTAGGAAAATGCAAATTAAAACCACAAGGAGATTTCTTCACACCCGTACTAGAATGGGTAAAATTTTTTTTTAAAAGTAATTTCCCATTATATCAAGGTACTGTTGTTTATTTAACCAATTCTCAGCTGTCCAACATTAAGATCTTATCCAATTTTTCACTATTATGAATAAGGCTGTCAATAATATCATTGAATATAAATCTTTTTACTCATGTGTAATCATTTTTTTAGGATAGAATCCTAGAAGCAAAATTACTAGTATGAACTCTTTAAAGACTTAATATATATGGCCGAATTGTTTTCCAGAAAGCTTGTACTAATAATAGCTACTTGAGTGCCTACTATATGCCAGATATTGTTTTAAGCAGATTTTATTATGCCTATTTTACAGATGAAGAAACTAAGGTCCATTGATGTTATTTGTCCAGAGTCACAGAGATAGCAAGTAGCAAAGCTAGAATTCAAATTCAGAATTGCCCAATCTCAAAGCTCATGTTATTTCCATGTGAATTTCAAAAATAAATATTTTTGCGTTATCAAATTATTATATATTTCCTAGAGAAAATGTGGAAAATACAAGTAGAAAGTAAAGAAAATGAAAATAAATTACCCATGAATCCACCTCTTTTAACAGTATAGTGTATTTCTCAGTCTTTTGTCCCAGAAGATACAATTTCTGGGTTAAAAATAATTATAACATTGTATATATAATTCTGCATCCTGATTTTTTCACTTAACATTTTTCAGTGCTGACCCATACTCTTCATAAACATAATTTTATGGTTGCATATTATTGTCAAGGGATGTTACCATGTGGATATTTACAGTTGTTCATCTCATCTGTGAATTTCTTCTTTCCATTCCCAGAACCCTCCAGCTCCCATGAAGCTTACAGAGTTCAATGTTGGGAACCATCTAATCTTCAAAATAAGTCACCATGGCGGATTGAAACCTTCACAGTTTGAAAACATTCCATCAAATACTTGCTGTGCAGATAGATGTTTCAGGACTTCACAAGTTATTTAATTTACTGACTGAACTCATCAATCTGGTAGCAGTTAATTCAAGCTAGTCTTCCTCTCTTTCTTTCTTTCTTTCCCCTCCCCTAATCTGTGAAAGCCTAAATGTAACATATATATCTTTCCAGAGGCTCTTTTCATTCCTCTTGTCAGGTAAAGAGGAATTCAAAAGACTTCCTCGAAGTCTCTAACTCCCTTGGAAAAACTATTAATCATATCTATAGGGTCTTTGTGGTATTGAGGGGAATTAGACTATATTTTCTTCTTGTGTCCATGTGCATTTATAAGCATGCATATGTGCAGCATATTTACACAAAATTCTGCTGTGGTGTTGTGCAAATCAAGGTTAAAAAAATCTGAGGTTTTTATTCAATCATGCTTTCTCCCTAAATAGCAATTTAGATATTTGCTGAGCCATAACACCATCCCTATATTGGGTACCTAAAATTTGAGAGGGAGATTCAACACACTGTGATCAAGGTCCTTGAATTGGGAATTGAACAAAACGTAAAACCTGTTCTCTGTCATAGAGGTGTGGCGTTCCTGAAAGCACCACAGCTAATAGAGAAGATCAGATCAGATTTCCACTTTATTAAATATAATGATTGTGTTTTAAAGACTTTTAATGACAGACTGTGGTAAAATTCTCCAATTACTTTTATTCTTATCTCTGCTACCCAGCTTTATTTTAGGCTTTATGAATTACTCTATGAGGAAAGAAAAACTATAAGCCTAACTTACAGACCATAGATTTTGTTAAGGGGTTTAAAGGTGATTTTCAGGTTTAATTATAGTACTGTTCATAAAGATAGTTTCACAGTTGAAATCAGCCTAAGGATTAGCACAAAGGATCTATGTTTTCACAGCAGGGGTTAGTGCACAGATAGTGATAATCTAATAGTAATATGCCAATTCTTTCTTTTTTTTTTTTTTTTAGCTTCATGGTAGCTCAGCCATTAAGATAGTTTACATCCATTTCCCCATTTATTTATAATCAGCCTTTCTTTTAGTCCTAGTGCCTGAATCAGTGAGTATGGATACTAATGCTGCTTCTTTGTGATAATAATACCCAAGAGTATTGATGGTTTTCATTTCTCAGCCAGTGCCCATCTGCTGACAATAGAAGTCCCAACTCTTACAGAGATCAGTGAGAGTTAGAGGCATCTTACAGATATCAAGGAGTTGAGCTCCCAGAGGGTCTACTAAGTTATCCCCCCTAAAACCTTTATGAGCAAAAAAGAGTTGCCTGTCACAAACGGTTCAGTTTTTGGGCTCCAGTGAAGCTGAGAAAGTGAGCAATCCAGTTCATTAAAGCAACAACAACAAAAAAAAACCTGTTCATTTGTATTCTTTAGGAAATTTTGGTCAAAGTAAAACTTTTAGCATAAATTAAGTGGATTGTGGCCAGCATTTCATTTGAGAGCATACTAGACATGACTAAATCAATTAGGACCAGGGACTGTTTCTCAAACTCAGACTCTAAGAAGCAGCCTAGAAGCATATGCACACTGGGTTTCATGATGAAATTGTATATGTTCAGATGGGAAGACTTTTCTCCTTCCTCTCTCCCTCCAAAATACACTCTTGTTTAGGTTTCTCTTGAAAGCTTATTTGGCCATCCATATAGTCTTATGATGCATAAGCCTTGCCTTCTATTCATGTAGAAATGCACCTTTCTCTAAAGGTAGGGCCATTACTTACTCCATAGCCAGTGAGCCTCAAAACAATCTTTCCCTTTTCCATCTATCATCTTCTGCCAAGGGTTTAGGCAGAGTAGCTGCTAACTATGATTCAAAATCAGGAAGGAATGAAGAACTTCTTGCATGCACAGAGTGTATCAGCATACAGCACTCATAGAAATCAGGTCATAAAAGACAGTGTAAGGAAACTACAGGAAAGCAGAGGAAGGGTAAAGCTCAGGAGAGCTATAATGCAAAGCTGATTGTTTAATGTCTTACAGACTTAACACTGTCTTCAAAAGGCCAAATAAATCAGGGTTTTATGTGGGGGCTTGGAGAAATAAACAAACCTTATTCCTATCAGCTCCTTGGTTCCACTAGTTTATAGACTCTGATAATATCCCTGTCCATATATCATTGAGTATTGACTACTATACATAGGCATCCCCCTGCTTGGTTGACTATTGATAAAGAAGGCAGAAAGGTTTGTCGGATAATTAGCATACCCTGATCTGGCTCCTTTGCTTGCTTTTCCTTGGGGCACTGTCCAATAACCTCTGCAGGATCTCATTCCCCAATCTTTGGTACCCATTTTCCCCATTTGAAAAACAAAGACACTCATTGTTAGGATCCTAAAGTTGAAAGGTGCTATGTAACTCCCTAGTGCTCTTATATGTCTTTCATTTCAGGACTGGAATGAAAAGTTTAACCATAACAGTATTTCTAAGCAAACTAGTGTGCTCTGTTCTTTCTTCCAGGCTCTCATTGCTGATTTGTTCTTGCAGAGCTTAGAGTACTTTATTAATGTTTTTCCTTTCATTCCAACTAGAAAGAGACAGAATAGAAATTATTTTCCCCATGATACAGCTGAAAAAATTAAGGGCGAAAGAAATGAGGTGCCCTCCAAAAGCACATAGCTATCTGGGGCAGAAGTCACAGTTACCATGTCCAGTGCACTGTTAGAGTGACTTGGCTTCCCAGTACTAGAATTACCGTGGAGCAACTTAGAACATTGAGAGCAATTAGGGTAGGATCACATTTCAGAAGAGTCCCATTTTGTCCAAAATCTGAAAGTATGCAATTTATAAAACTCTTGTTTTCTATGTGATAGAAATGTAATATGTACCTCTTTCCCTCACTGGCCCCATGTTACACATATTTCACACTATGTGGCATCAGCCAGTGTCATTATCTCCTCTGGCACCCATAGAACCCAATCTCAGGGCTGTCTTTGCCAGGGAAAAGAATATGCTTCCTCATGTTTATGCCAGATTGCACAAAGTGTAGGCATTGAGCTTAATGGAGATTTAAGCACAATCCTAGCAGGTATGTTTTAAGAATATTGAATATACATCATTGTAATGTGCACCTGAAATTTAACATTGCTCAAATTCACAGGAATGTAACAGTCATGAAAAGCCTATCTTTTTCACCTCTCATCACACATACATATCTACATACAGGTGTGCACACGCATATGCACACACACACACTGCCCCAAAGCAGGCTGCCTGGTCATCAGGAGAAAATACTTTAAAAGAATGATTCTCTGTCTTCTCCTTTTAGAAAAAAGTCCAATAGTCACTGCAAGTGAAGAACATTCCACTACACATCCTAGAACCCTAGAACCCTTAGCTCCCAATGTAGCTAAGGTACTCCATTGGTGCAAAAGACATGTTCTGTGCCTCTATCAGAGGCACAGAAGGCATCTAAAAAGATTGTTAGACCCTTCCATAAGTCCCGTGTTCTTAGTAAATGCATGAGCTCCATCCAATCAATAGGAAATGGTTTATGAGGTATGGTACATCTGCATTTCTTTAACCATAGCTGTAACATACCGTATTAAATTGTAGTCTTTTGCATGCAGGTGTTATGCAATATAATAATGAATGGGTGGCTCCTGATAGCCATGCAACCCGTGACAGTTTACTTCCCCAGAAGAGCTAGGGCTGTGTCCCACATAGTGCTCAAAACTATTAAATGTGTTCTTCATAGCAACCTGGTATATGGCCATCAGCAAAATGAGTAAAAACAGACAATGAATGCAGTATATCAGGAAATAGGTTTTTGGTAGAGAATGGCATTAAAGGAAAAAGAACAGTAAGATAAGATGCATTCAAGGAATAATTGCTGTCACTCTGCTAGCTAAATCAGCAAAGGGACACAGCACGAAAGCTGGTACTGGGTTTTGGTAATATGTGAAATGTATTGGAGGGCCAGAAAAAGAAAGGCACTGGGGACCTCAGCAGTTAAGCTCAAGTTGCCAATTTGCTACAAATCCTTTTTTCCACCAATCTGCTCAAAGTGATTGTATATAGTATTCTTAAAACCATATGTCTTGCTACAGAAATATCCACAAATACTGACCAGCTTTATCTTCCTATGTTCTTTATTAAAAGTATATGCATAAAATTGTCATTTCTTTTATATATTATGGTTTTATTAAACAATGTTGGCAAAGCCTAAAATTTCAGACCACTTTGATGGAAGTTTCTATACATCTCAATTCAGGGGGGTATAGTGGCATTTATTCACTTCTAGGTTGATTGGTATCTGTGGTATGTAGACTCCTCTGTAACATCTCATCTTCCAGACACCCCCTACCCCATGCTCAGTATTTCTATCTTATGTTCCTACATGGATATGAGTTGGAAAATGAGCAGCAATGGCTTTTATTTTTTTTTTTTTGTTTATTGCAGTAACATTGGTTTATAACATTGTAAAAATTTCAGGTGTACATCATTATACTTCTATTTCTGCATAGATTACATCATGTTCACCACCAAAATACTAATTACAACCCATCACCACACACATGTACCGAATTATCCCTTTCACCCTCCTCCCTCCCCCCTTCCCCTCTGGTAACCACCAATCCAATCTCTGTCCCTATGTGTTTGTTTATTGTTGTTATTATCTACTACTGAATGAAGGAAATCATACGGTATTTGACCTTCTCCCTCTGACTTATTTCATTTTGCATAATACCCTCAATGTCCATCCATGTTGTCACAAATGGCTGGATTTCATGATTTCTTATGGCTGAGTAGTATTCCATTGTGTATATATACCACATCTTCTTTATCCATTCGTCCCTTGATGGGCATTTAGGTTTTAGATAGAAAGCTGACTCATCTAATGGCACATAATCATGTTCAGTCTCTGCTCAGCCTCACACATTTTTTGCCTTTTCCTGTATTGTGATAAGTAAAAAGTAAAAGAAAGAACTTAATCTATGTGCTTAAGGGTGATATGAACTCTGATTTGCTTTTTCAAACACTGAAGACTGTGTTTACTATTATGCAGATGCGTGTCACCTGAAAAAAGAATATAATGATCCTGACAAAAATAACACAGTTGTCCACTTGTTCCTAAATTATACATTACCCTCAGAGAAATATTTGAAGAGACCCTCATTAAGTAAGCCCCAAATAAGTTTTCCCTCAATAGATGCACCATTTGCACAGAGTCCTTCTCAGACAGAATGGAGAAAAGTCCCCCAATTAGCCAACAAGAAGGCAGAAGTCAATGAAAATGCAGAGCATTGAAAGCTAAAGTTTGGAATAGTCAATGCTGATCGTAACTAAATAATAATGGAGAACTTGAATCACTTCAGAGAGGCCCAACCTGTAGAGGTCAGGCTTAACACAAAACCAGAAAGAAGTCTGTTATTCTAGTTAAGCTTATAAAAAAGTGCTTACTTTGTCCTAGGTAAAGACTTTAAAGATCTCAGCTGAAAATCTCATTTTATTTATTCCAATGCATCAGCTACAAACAGCTTGAATTTACATCACAAGCACAGTGTAGAAAAATAAATACTAGAAACAAAGGACAACTAATTTCTTTCTAGATTAAAAAAGGCATAAAAGAGGAAACCTTTGTACAAGAATCTTATTTGAATAGAGGTTACTAAAGAAATTCAAGACATAGATGTTTAAAAGGAAACTTTAATTTATAAGTGTAGATATAAGTATAATGGTTTATACAAGAATGTGTAAACATACTGACGTGCATTTTCTTCGTATTATAAACAAGAAAATTTTCAAATTAATTTTCTCACCATATTCAGGGACATTGAAAAACTAGTCAGTTTCTCTTTGAATATTAAAATGTTCTCACACATTAGCATAATGTTTCAATGTTTAGACTTCCAACTCTACATGGGTGGAAAATTTATGACAGTGTAAAGCACATTTTAGCAAACTTTTTTTTAAAGTATTTGAATATGTTTATGGTTTTGAAAGAAATTTTCCTCATAAACCTTAATTGGTATTCAAATCAATTTTGCAAATTGGCACAGTATCAGACCTAGATCCTGACAATGTTGGCAAACTCTAAAATAAATTTGGCCACAGCATTGTTTCTTATGGCTGAGTAGTATTCCATTGCCTATATATACCACATCTTCTTTATCCATTCGTCCCTTGATGGGCACTTAGGTTGCTTCCAAGTCTTGGCTATTGTGAATAACGCTGCAACGAACACAGGGGTGCATGTATCTTTACGCATTGGCGTTTTCACGTTCTTTGGATAAATACCCAGCAGTGGAATAGCTGGATCATAGGGTAGTTCTATCCTTGATTTTTTGAGGAATCTCCATACTGTTTTCCATAGTGGCTGCACCAGTTTGCACTCCCACCAGCAGTGTATGAGAGTTCCCTTCTCTCCATATCCTCTCTAGCCATTCTGACGGGCGTGAGGTGATAGCTCATTGTAGTTTTGATTTGCATTTCCCTGATAGTTAATGATGTTGAACATCTTTTCATGTGCCTGTTGGTCATCTGTATATCTTCTACTCAGCCATAAGAAATGATGAAATCCAGCCATTTGTGACAACATGGATGGACATTGAGGGTATTATGCAAAGTTAAATAAGTCAGAGGGAGAAGGTCAAATACCATATGATCTCACTCATAAAATAGTAGATAATAACAACAACAAACAAACACATAGAGACAGAGATTGGATTGGTGGTTACCAGAGGGGAAGAGGGGAGAGAAGAGGGTGAAAGGGATAATTAGGCACATGTGTGTGGTGATGGATTGCAATTAGTATTTGGGTGGTGAACATGAGAACATGATGTAATCCATGGAGAAATAGAAGTATAATGATGTACACCTGAAATTTATACAATGTTATAAACCAATGTTACCACAACAAACAAAAAATTTAAAAAAAAAAAGAGCTATAGAAAAAAATTTTGCCACAGCATATAAGAACTTCAATGAAAATAAAATACAATTAGCTATACAGGGAAAGCAAAAGTTTTGCTATTGAAACGTTAAAGAATATAGGTTTCAAATTAGTCAAAAATTGTTATTGTTATACTTACCAGTTCGCTATCATACCATACATAAATTGCCCCGGACAATTAGAAAGCACTTATTAGAGTAATGTGGTTCTGAGGGACCCAGTACAAATGCAAATTTGAAATCGTTACTGAATCATAAGAGTCTGTGTGTGACAGGACTACTGGGTGCTGAGGGTGGAGGGTTCTTTGAGATGTAAACAATCAAGGGGGAATACTGGTGGAAATAAGCCAAGCTGAGATAGGAAACATTAACAATTTAACCCCTTTTCCACTTGATTATAATTTCTCCTAAACTTGGAAGCCTTCTATCTTCTACCTACATATTTTCAATCTATTAAAATTGTAATTTTGTTGGGGGTAAAATTAATTTATCTCTTCTCTGTCTTTCCTATTAGCTGACTGATCCAGAGACAACTTCAGATTTGCATTTCTATCACTACCTCTGATTATCTTAACAAAAACATCTGGAGCATCTATTTATAAAAATTATTTTTAAATACTTTCATTTGCCATGAACTTATGAAGTTTCCTACTTTTTATTCACCTGAAAGTTTTGGACAATCTCAGTTCAGCCAAAGTTATCAGAAAAAAAGAAAACTTTGCCTTCCTATGACTGTTTTCAAAGGGTATAGACACTACAAACTTAGTTGATAAATAAAACAATGTATTTTTAATGTAGTCTTTCTACTGATTCCCAGTCTAGCTTTTAAATCTACTTCTTCATGATAATAATTCTCACTGCCATGAGCTACCATCTTTGTGAACACTATTGTCAAGAAAGTGTATGAGAGGAAGAAATTGTCTTCTACCCTTCTACGTTCTTCTGGCTGGTCTAAGAATTAAATTGACATGAGACAGAATAACAGGAGAAAATCAAACAAAGTTTAATAACATGTATACATGGGAGAAACCCAGGAAAACTGAGCAACTTACCAAAATGACTGAAGCCACGACCTTAAATGCCATCTTCAGCTAAAGACAAAAGAGGATGTTGCGGGTAGTGGTTTGGAACTTCAAAGGAGAGGGAGGAAATTCTCATGGAGATGGAAAGGCAAATGTTTAGTAAACAACTGTTTGCCATACCTTGTGAAGACAATGGGACATGGGGAGGACTTTGATCTAATAGGCCTTGCTAAATTCCTCCCTGTATACTGCATCTTGTTCATAGTATAGTATAGTTATCTATGGTAATAGCTCTTTCCTGAAACAGGCTTTCTATCTTAAATTATTTTAGGCAGTTAGGCAGGTCAAAGTTTCATCCTGAGTCTTTTGTTCTTAAAAATAAGCCAAAGAGACACATTTGGGGGTGGCAAGTTCTGCTCCCCTACAAAAGAAAAAGGGGGTAGTAGGAAGAGAGGGAGAGAGGGAAGTTGTTTGAACCATTTGAGATTGCCTTAAACCAGGGACTCTCAACCTTATTTTGGTCATGCACTCCTTTGAGAATCTAAAGTTAGCTATGGACAGTCTCCACATAAAAATACATGCACACACACACACACAGAATTTTACAATTTCAGAGGGTTTTCAGAGACTCTTAAATATATTCATATGACCTAGTTAAGAATTCTTACCTTAAATTGCATCCCATCTTTATAGAAGCATCATATCAAATAAGTGAACCTGTGTGTGATACTGTGTTACATTATCAAACAGGTTACCAATTAATGCAAAGTCTATTACTGAGTTTATTACATTTTTAAGAATTTTCTATTTCCATAATCCTCCACCCCATTACCCAAGGCTTTGGAGCAGTTGGATGAGCAGCAGGAATGGTTGTTGCTAAGGATATCAGAGAGATGGGCTGTGTACACAGCAGGTACTATATAAAGTCCTCTCTTCAGACAACAGAAGACCAAATGTTTCTCATCAAATTAAAGAAGTTTTAAGATGACAGCTGTTGGAATATTTAGCTCATGTCTGTTATTTTTAGTGACACTGACATTGGTTTTAAAAGTCAGAAATGGGTTTTTTAAGAGAATTTTCTATTACAAGCATTATCCTCCTTTTTACTCTCACACCCCTTGTCATTTATTGGATTTTGTAAGTTGCATGCCTTAAGTTTTAACATGTCTTTTAATTGTGTATGAATTAATGCTACATGGCAGTG